TCAAGGAAGAATGTGCATGCTTTGCCCAGGTCCTTTCTATCCTGTGGATTTGCTTTTCATCAGAAGACACTGATATTAAAGGCCTTGATTACTCTACAAAAATGATTTCCTTCTTACAGTTCCTCTCCTTGTAGTGTCAGCAAAAGGGCTGAAACAGCGCCTACAAATGTGCTTTCTAGTTGCAGCTGGAGAAGGTCGTCTTTAAGATTCTCTCCTGCTGTCCCCATAGACTGGTCTGGTAATCTTACCCAAAAAGGAAATGAACTTGGCTTGGCCCAGCTTTTCTGAATGGATCCATGAAGGGATCCAGTGATCACTCATTGCTTTCCTTTCTAAATGCTCACAAGCAATCTGCTCATAATTACTTGGAGAACTTCAAAGGGATGTCAAACTCAAGAACATAGAGTTTCTGAAAACTATTCTTTCTTCCTTTTAAGAAGTGGAGATCTTCGGCACCTTTCCTATTGTCACGATTTATCAGGTTATCAGCAGCAGTTCAGTGGTGACATCTTCAAGAATGATTATCTCTGGGACGTAATTTTTCCAGCTTTGGAAACAACCTCACCGAAGGCAGCTAGGTGCTTGCATAGCCCCTATCCACCTCGAGCAACTTTACTTATACAAAGCCATTTACGCTGTTAACTTCCCTAAGTCAATCTGAGCTCTGGCTTCCCAAGCCTATTCTTACAAATTCACAATAGTCTTTGGTTACGTGTCTCTCCCTCGGTCCTTTCTCAAGAAGTGTATCAAAAGGTCACCATTTAAAAAAACATTGGTTTCTTTTGATACGTCCCTCTTTTTTTCCTCGTTGAAAGAATTTCTGACCATACTCCAAGAAACCTGGACTTCTGTGCCTCTTGAGTTGCTTTCCCTTGGAGAGTCTCTGCCCCAACTATTCTTTCTCCCACTTCTGGCTTCATGACTGCTCACAAGGGCCTCCCTTTCCTCACAATCACTACAGTGCTAACGTTCTCTAAAACCGCATACAACTCCCAGCTGGATGGATCATCTAATCAGAAAGGGGACAGACTAGATGCAAGGTACTACAATGTTATAGCAACAATTATGGCCTGGTGACCTTAAGGGCCACTGAGAAGTCCTCCTAGGGAGTACATGCACAAGTACTTGTGTCTTAATTTCAATAGAATTTCTGGTCTCATGTTTAAATATTTGGGCCTTTGTCCTCAAAAATCTATGAGTTGCTATGGACTTGGACCTTGGGAAGAAGAGTAACCATGGAGGTAACAAGGAGAGAATAATAGCTTCTTCCCAACTCCAGGTTTGCCTTTCAATAATCCTCCGTGATACTTCTCCTAGAAAGCAGAAGAGACTGGAAGCCCCAGGGATTGCCTGGCTTAATGAAGAAAGCTAGCATTTTTGGATATTTCCAAGGCAGACACTCTCTGTTAAGGGTACTGGGCAGCACAGATAAGGATCAATCAAGGTTTCCTCTGTCTTAAGATAAGCAGCAGAATGCAGTGGAAAATACATTCAATTTGGAGTCAGAAGACCTAGGCTTAAGATCCTTGCTTTGCTACCTACTGCCTTGGGCAAATAAGTCACTTATCTTCTTTGGGAGATTGGGGAGATAACTTTTAAGGACTTTTCTGACTCTAAATACATGATCATGTCAGACTAAGCTTCCAGTCAATGATATGAAGGATACAAGAGGAAGAAAGATCACCTGCTAGGCAAAGAACGTCATTACCCAAATTTCTTGGTAACTGTCCAATACTTCCCTTATTTGTGTCCAAAATGCACAAAAGAATTTAATCAGGAGAGATAAAGGGCTCTAGTGGATTCTGCTGAGACTGAACCTAAAAGAAAACATTGGAAGAGTAGAATTCAGGAGTGGTGTTTCTCTTTTACAATAACAAAAGGAAATGTGTTAACTCTTTCCCAGGAAAGCCTCAAGCAAGCTTCTAAAGAGGTCCTGGAGATTGAATCAAGAAGATAAGATGGCAGGGCCCTATGAGATTTCTCATGGAGTAGGGCCCTGGTATCAGGGTAAACATTATCCCTGTTTCTTATAGGTCATAATGGATACCCTCTATTTGGGACATGGGTCTTTTCTAAAAGCCCAATATCTCTGATACTGGGTAGGAAGAGTACTGGATCTAAAACCAAGGACTAGATTTGAATCCTGGCTCTGCTACTTGCATGACTTTGGACTTTTTAACATTCCCTCCAGCTCATTTTCCTTCTTAATAAAACGAAGGTGTTAGACCAGCTGCTATCAAGTGGCCTCCCAGTGCTACAATGAGATTTCTGCTAAAGCCCCAGGAGTCAGACCACTTCTGGCACTCAAAGGCTAGGACCACCAGAGATCCTAGGCCTTTGGAGGCCCTAATACCTAAAGACAGGATCTTACTCCAAACCCAAACATTACCTTGAGAATTCAAACTTTTCATCTCTCAAATGCTCCCAGGATACTAGATTATAAAGCTCTCCTTAGGAGAGAATGTCTGTACCTGGGGTCCTGGAAGGGAATTTACTGTGTTCCTGGTAAAAACAGTCCATGTGAACTCTGTGACATGAGGAATGTAGCAGGCATCCTTTGGGGAAGCATTATTGAGAAGGTTCTGATGCCCAAGGCATCTGAAAGGAGCTTACATGCTGGAACTCCCAGCTCAACAGCCCCACTTCTCCCCAGCAACAAAGGTGGGTTTCTGCACCAGTCCTACTAAGCAGCCCCTTTGTTCAGCTCTGAGACTCCAGAGTAATGAAAGCCTCTTCATGCTCCAAGCCCTAAATCAAAAAGCACCACCCTCTCGACCACTGTAGGTTTACAACTACAGCTTTCAGTCTTTGCAAGGCAGCCTTAGAGGCCAGGTTCTTCCCAACAGGGCAGCTTAACATGGCAAGGTCAATGCCGTTGAAGGGTTCTGCCATGTTGAGTTCATTTCTTTCCATGCCTGGCAACCCACTTGATTTCCTTTCTCACTTGCAAAGATGATAGTCCTCCCTAGAGTAAAAAGCCAACTAAGTTCTTAAGGATTCAGATACTTTTCCAGTTAGGCTCTAGCATGTCCCCTCTTTCCCTGGAAACTCTTAAGGTGGAAAAAAATACATCTCAAACTGTAAGTAGCCAGGAGTCATTCACTACCCTCGGCTGTGCTATGCTGAAGCTGGCACTTGGAAGCCATTTCATGAGAAACACTGCCCTTGTCTATTGCTCTAGGAGGCAGTTTAAAGAAGTGTGTGGGCCCAAGTTCTCTCCTCCCCATCATCTCAACCCCATTACCATTTTCTCATACCTCTAAAACCAGAGAGGTGTCTCCTTTAGGGAAGAGAAGTCTAGTCAAGGCCTGAATAGACAGGTAGCCCTTCCCCAAAGGCATTCTCTCAATGCCACATCCCTTTACCTCCAAGTTCCCACATCCCAGACACCTAGCAGGGAGGAGGGTTGAACACAAAAGGATACATGTAGTAATACAAACTACTCTTGTCCCCACAGAGCTCAGCATACTTTTTCAAAGGTTCTGAACTTCTGCTCCTGAAAGGAGGGAACCGACCCCTGTAATGGGCTTTGTGGTCTTCCACTAGGGCAGAGAAGTCATCCCTATGAGGTGAAGTAGTCTTCCCATCACCAAAATGTTCCAAGGGACCAGTTTGATCAATGTGAACCTTTAGAGCTACGTTAAAGATGTGGTACCCAAAGTTTATCTGATAAAAGCCTAATTTCTCAAATATATAAGGAAATGAGGCAAATTTATAAAAATAAGAGCCATTCCCCAATTGATAAATGGTCAAAGGATATTAACAGGCAGTTTCCAGAAGAAGAAATCAAAGCTATTAACAGTTGGAAGAAGAAATGCTCTAAATCACTACTGATTAGAGAAATGCAAATTAAAACAACTCTAAGGCATCACCTTCATACTGATCAGATTGGCTAACGTGACAGAAAAAAGAAAATGATGAATGCTGAAGGGGCTATGGAAAAATAAGGGACATTGATGCACTATTTGTGGAGTTGTGAACTGGTTCGGCCATTCTGGAAAACAATTTGGAACGATGCTCAAAGGGCTATAAAAGTGTGCACACCCTTTGACCCAGCAATGCCACTGATAGATCTGTAACCCAAAGATATTAAAAAAAAAAAAAAGGAAAACTATGTACAAAAATATCCATAGCAGCTCTTTTTGTGGTGACAAAGAATTAGAAATTGAGGGAATGCCCATCAATTAGGGAATGGCTAAACAAATTGTGGCATATGATGTGATGGAATACTACTGTGCTATAAGAAATAATGAGCAGGATGGTGTGGGAAAAACCTGGAAAGACTTATATGAGCTGATATAAAGTGAAATGAGCAGAACCAGGAGAATGTTGTACACAGTAACAGCAATACTGACAATGATCATCTGTGAAAGACTTAGTTACTCTGATCAATACAATGATCCATGACACTTTCTTTTTTTTTTTCTTTTAGGCAATTGGGGTTAAGTGACTTGCCCAGGGTCACACAGCTAGTAAGTGTCAAGTGTTTGGTCTGAGGCCGGATTTGAACTCAGGTCCTCCTGACTTCAGGGCCAGTGCTCTATCCACCTAGCTGCCCCCGATTCATGATACTTCCAAAGGACTCATGATGAAAAATGCTATCCACCTCCAGAGAGAGAAATGATGAACTCTGAGTGCAAAATAAGCACATTTTTTCACTTTATTTTTCTTGCCTTTTTGCGGGGTGGGGTGGGGTACAAGATGTCTAATATGGAACTATGTTTTACATGACTTCACATGGAAAACGGATATATTATATTGCCTGCTCTCTTTCTCTCAATAGGTGAGGGAGGAAGAGAATTTGGAACTCAAAATTTAGAAAAATGAATATTACAAACAGACAAATAAAAGAGAGAAAAGATGTGGTGCCTAATACAGTATTCCCATGCTATCCCAGCAAAAAGCTCTGCACTTTGCAACCAATCAGGTGTGATGTCTCCGTTAGTCCAAGTCTGAGGCCAGGAACTGCTGCCCTTACCCAATGTCCCTCATTCACTTACCTAAGCTGTGTCCATTCTTTGTATAGAAGCAAGTGTTGTTGATGAGGTTGACGCAGCAGCCAATTACATCTCCAGTAGTAAAGGTGGGGCCATAAGGTTGCCCAGTTCCAGAAGAACAGAACGAATGTCCATCATCACCGTGATAACCATAGGAATGCTTGTCCCAACCTGTGGGAGCAGAGAATAATATCAACTGAATAAAGAGAACAAGGAAGGAGAAGTGGAGTCCAAGAAGCATCGGAGGAAAGCCATAGAGAAATAAATCACAAAAGGGGCTTGGGCTTCCTTCTCTTTCTAAACTTACCATTCTTTGTACCGCATCACAGGGCTCCATGGTTCACTTCATTACCTCAAAAGGATTTTAAAGAACACCTACTAGATAGAATACTAGGCTACACACTGGGAGTGGAGTCAGGGAGATACAAATGAAACCTAGTTTATGTCCTCCAAGAAGTTTTGTCCAACTGACAACATCACACACACACACACACACACACACACACACACACACACACACACACAAACAGTTAAGGAAAAACACGTGGCAGGATGTGATTAAATGACAAAATGAGTGATATTGGAACACAAAGAAGGGGAGACCAATGTGAGCTGAATAACTGGGAAAGACTTAACAGACATGGTGCTGGAGCTCAATCTTGAAGAATAAGGAGGAGAAAAGAAGGAAACTGTAGATCAAAAAAACCATGTGAGCAAAGAAATAAGTATAGAAATAAGAATAGGGGATAATGACTAGATCAATCACACTCAAGTAGAAGAGATGGCTGGATTAAAAAAAAATACAACGAAACAAAACAAAACAAAAAATGCCAGAGCCAGTCTATTCTAGGCCTTGAATGCCAGGCAAAGGAGTTTGGGTTTTGGTTTGTCAGTATTAAGGCAGAAACAGGACTGTAAGATTTAGAGATGGAATGAGCTCTATAGATCATTCAGTATACTTCATTTTAAAGATACGGAAGCTGAGGATCACAGAAGTTACTCAACTTTCCCAATATCCCAAAGGTGACATTGCCACTGAGTGATGATGGTAGGATTCTACCTATGGTCTTCTGACTCTCAATCCTGTGTCCTTTCTACTAAACCACCACTTTGTTGGTACTCCTACAACACCATCATCAGCTAGAGATAAACCATACGGTTTGCTCATGGCAGTACAACCCCACTGGCAAGAGGTATCTGTTGAGTGCATGTCAGGCATGATTCGAGGTTCTAGGTAGAGAGAGAAATTACAGTCTCTGCTCCCTATCTAGTTGGGAGACAGGGCAAGCTATCTCCAAAAAGAAAAAAAAAAAAGACTTTATATGTTAAGTGCCAAATGAAAGACACATATAATGGTTGTGCAAAGAACTCAGTGCAGATTAAATTGACTAGATAAGAGGTAGAATGAGCTGAGTCTTGAAGAAAGCAAAGAAGGCAGCTAGGTGGCACAGTAGATAGAACGCCAGGCCTCTTTTCCCGAGTTCAAATCTGGCCTCAGACACTTATTCTGGGCAAGTCACTTAATTAACCTGTTTGCCTCAGTTTGCTCATCTGTAAAATGAGCTATAAAAGGAAGATGGCAAAATCTTCCAGTATCTTTGCCAAGAAAACCCCAAATGAGGTCACAAAGAGTTAGGCACAACTAAAACAACTGAACAACAAAAAACAACAAATTAGCAAAGACAGGGGCAATGATGGGAGGCGGTGGAGAGAGCACAGAAATGGAAATTTGAAGAGACTGGTTTTGCTAAAGTTTAGTTTCTCGGGGAGACAAAAGACATAAGGTTTTAACAACTGGATGGAGAACCTAGAACGCCATGGTTTTGTTCTATGGGCGAAGGAAACCACTCTAAGTGTTTTGAGTCAACGAGGTGGTGAGTACTCTGTGACAAAGCAATGTTTTTGGTTGATATCTCAGTACTATATTAGGGGTTAGAGGGCATGGGTTCAAATTTTGACTTTGTTACACACTAACTAGGTAACCCTGCACAAGCCACTTAGTCTAGCTAGGTCACAGTTTTCTCATCTGTAAAATCAAAGTGTTAGAACTAGAAGATCTCTGAGGTTCCATCCAATTCTAAATCAGTGATGTACATAAGCTCTCCATATGGAAAAGCTTCTATTTCCTCCAAAACAGTGTTTTCTGGAAAGATCAAATTCCTGCTTCCACATCTCATGCCATTCATTCGTATTAGGGTCCAGACCGAGGAAGGAAGAAGTACATAAGAAGTACATAAGCCCCCTGACTAGAATTCAAGTAATGCTAATTAGGGGAAGAACATGCCAGGGAATGAGATACTATATGCCAAGTAAGGCAAATTAACAGTTTCTATAATTAATTCCATGCGAAATGAAATACAAAATGTAGCTACTTTTTTTTTTAATTTCACAGAGAATCTTCACCATCTGTTTATGGTCAAATGGCCTTCACCAGGCCCAGGCTTTTCCTTAGCCTGGGTTTATGAAAACAGAAGTTTTAGTTATATAAAATGCCGGAAGTGGAAGAGATCTTAAAGATCATCTGGTATTCCCTATGCGGCCTCTGAAAAGTCACTTCCCACTTGTTTGCACTGGTACAGAATAAAATAAGCCAAACCGAGAAAACAATTTACACAATGATCTCAAAATGTAAGGGAAAACAATACTGAAGGCATCTTGACTCCAGCTGATTGAAGGTGAAATACATTTTCCTGCTCTTGGCTGGCATGTTGAACTCCTGGTGAGGCCTGCACGCTCAGCTGTGGCCACGGGGCTGGTTTGTTTTGCTTACCTATACATTTTTGTTACAAAGGAAAGCTGGGGGGGGGGGGGGGGGGGGGGGGGCATGAGATGGAATTTAAGAGCCAACTATGTGTCAAGCACTGAGGATAAAAAAGAAAAGCCAAAGACGGTCTCAGGTCTTGAGCTCACAGTCTGACGGGAGGACACAACATGCCAACAACCACAGACTAGTCAGAGCTGAAGAACTTAGATTTCAATACCAGTTTTCCTACTTCCTGCCTGTGTGGCCTGGGCAAAGTCACTGAGCCTCTCTGGGCTTCCTTTTCCTCATTCATAAAATGAGGGGAATGAATTAGATGTCCTCTAAGGTCCCGGCCAGTTCCAGATCTATGAGCTAATAAAGGTTGTCAGTTATGAAAGGCTATAAAGAGAAAAAGTCACCCAGGATAAGAAAGAACTCATTTCTTCCACACCTCACTCTGCTAATCTAGCTGATGAATACAAAGAGGAGTGGGATTAGTTACAGTTACCTCTTTAAGAATGCAAGTATTCAAATCAGTTTTCAGGAAAGTCGAAAGCAAGAAGTAGACAAGACAGACCAAACTTGGGGGTGAATTTGTCAACTAGGAAGGGAAGAAAAAGCTAGAACCCAATTTCCTTCAGAGGACACAAAAAGCCAAAATTTCTGCAAAGAGATTACCACCCCAAGATCCCTGAGTTTAAGTGCTAGCCTTGGCACACAAGCCAATGACCTCTGGACCTTTTCTTTTATAAAGGGGAAACTGAGGTCCTGTCACTTCTACGTTCTTTCCTTTGCCTTATCCTAGCAGATCTGATTCTGGGCGCCACCCTTTACTCTCCTCCCTGCTCAAACCTGTCCTACCCTACTTTTCAGGGCTAAAACTAAGGAGTTGGACTAGATGACTTTTAAGGCTCTTTATAGCCCTAAATACAGTGATCCTAATAATCAACCAAAAAGAATTTATTACATACCTAAATCCTGGCATTGGAGAGACAGAGACAAAAACAGAACAATCTCTGTTCTTAAGAAACTTCCTATCAAGAGACCACAAATACATACATAAATAGAGATTAAACACAAAATAAATATAAATCATTTTAGAGGAAGAGGGCACTGGCAGTGTTGGCAGAATCAAGAAAGTCTTCATGTAAAAGAGTCTTGAAGGCAGAAAGGGATTCCATAAGGCAGAGGGAGGCAGAGAGTGCATTCCTGCCGTGGGGAGGGCCAATGTCAGAAGCACAGAGACAGCAGAAGTAGCATTATGTGTGAGGAACAACAAGCCAGTTTGGCTACTAGACTATTCAGGGCAGGAAGGAGGAGAATGGATAACGAGGCTAGAAAGGTACAGTGGTGCCAAACTGAATTTATATTCTATCCTCAAGGCAACAGGGAGCTACTGGAGTTTATTGATCGAGAAATAATATGGTCACTTTGGCAGCTGGATACAGGATGGATTGGAGGGGGGAAGAGAATGGAGGCAGGGAGGCCAATTATTCAGCTACTGCAATGGTCCAGACGAAAAGTGATGAGGGCCTGAACTAAAGTGGTAACTGCAGAGAGTGGTGAAAAGGAACAAAAGAGAGACATCACACAGCAAGATAGGGAGCCAAGTCTATAAATGTGCAAATGGAAAGATGGCAGCAGGGAAGATTAGGAAAGGGGAGGGGCTGAGGAGGAGGTGTGTTTTGTTTTAGGCGTGAATGAATGAATAACAAAAACATTTAAGTCGATGCTATGGGCTGAACGTTGTTAAGCACTGAGTATACAGAGAAAAGCAGGAAAGTCCCCAAAGGTGTTTTTAAGGGGCTAAAAGACAAGAGCAGGATTTGGCAACCCCAGCTGTGCTAAAGATGACTAAAAAAACAACAAATATGAAGAATACAAAGAAATATTTAAAGTCCAATGCAAGATGATTCAAAGCAAGGTCAACAAAATGATCAAAGCACATACACCGACTACAATCCCTATTTTTTAAAAATATAGCAACAAAAGCAACAAGTCTTTGTAAGTACACCGAAAGATTTGTAAGGGAACATGGAGAAAAAATACTGCTACTACTCTAATGTTGTGAAAATGTACATTATTTCAACAAGCATATAGGTGCCTACTATGTGTAAGACACCTCATAAGCTTCTCAGTGCTGGGGATACAGAGATGGAAATTAACCAGTCCCAGCTCTCAAGAAGTTTCCCTTCTACTGGGGGGAGAGATGTACAGTTTGTTATCTTAAGTGGTATAAGAACAGCTGACACTGAAGTAGTGCAAGTGTTTTAAATACATAATCACATTTCAGTCTCAACCTGACTCTGTACAATAGTCACCACAAACCCCACTCTAAAGATAAAGTGACTGAGGCTCAGGCAGGTTAAGTCAGAAGCAGAATCTGAACCCAGGTCTTCCTGGCTCCCAAGTACAGCACTACATACAT